TATGATATGATCCATTTAATCCATAGCTATGAATCACGAATCTAAAAAAAAAAAAAGAAAAGAACCATATAGCTGGAAAAATGCAAAAAAGATTTAACAGTAAAACAAATTCATGTTATGAAAACATGAGAAAAAATTTGCACATGTTCTCAAATTTTCCGTGAAACAAAAACCAAATGCAGCAAAACAAAACGAAGCTTTAGGTCATGTTTAACAAGGCTGAGAAATAGTAAAACAATCTCATTCTGTAAAAGGGGAAAAAACATAAATATTTGAAATGCTATTGAGGGTATGCTCATGTTTTAACTGAATTATGCCCCTTAAACAAGCAGAATGGCAAAACAGGATTTTTGTAGCTGACCCCCAAGTAGTTGGGACAAGACTTTGAAGAGTTTAGTCAGCATTACATGGATTTTTTTAATTTAATTTGTTACACTAAAAAAAAGGTATTTTCCGAATATGTTTTATTTTTTGCCAGCCGAATTTGTAGACGGAAAAGTATGTATGTTCTGTGATCATTTTTGTTATATGGGCACCAAATGTTACGTTATGCTTGTGCATAAGTTCATGGATTTTTCAGTTTTTACTATAAGACTCTTTAACAAATGTTAAATTACTGGTTTTGGGATTCATCCAATACATTTTGAATCTAATATGTGCCTTTTGGCACTAGGATATAACCTTTCAACCTTGAATCTCCAGTTTTTGTCATCTTCACACCACCCCTAAAATAGCACCTCAGATCAACATCATCTAGAACATTGATTTCAGTTTTTATAAATATGTCCAGGCTTTATGTATGCCACACTCTCTTTTCATAATTATGATATTTTTGTTGTTTCAGGTCACTTTGGTCAAGTTCCAATTTTGTCAATTCCATCCCTGAAGTTTCCAATTTCAGTCAACATGATCAGTTTGAAATGGGCCATCTAAATCATCTATGTAACTGTTCCATTCAATGTCATTTTAGTTCCCAAAAACCAAGCCACCATCACAATAAATCTACCATATCAAAATCTACCCGTGATTTTATTCCTTAAGAACTAAATCCAAACCCTCAAGACACTTCTCCAACATTCCCTCATTTGCCTGAACAAAGTCTAAAAAACCAAATCTTAAGTTGAACAATCAATCAGATATCATTCTGGCCAACTAGGAGTTGAGGAAAACATAGAGTTAAAGAAACAATCCTCTACTGTCCTATCAATGTACTGCACACACAAAGAAAATAATTACCCGATTATGTATTGAATTCATAGGGCTAATAACAACCCAAATTTGCAGCAGACCAGCATCTAGCAGCAGCCCGCTTCACAGCAACATTGCAGCAGCAGCAGCAGCCCAGCAAAATTCTGCAGCAGCACACCGGCAGCAGCAGCAACAGACCAGCAGTAGATCCTGAAATAAGAGAGTACTTAAGAGTGTCCCACATAATTAAGAGTGTCCCACATAATTACCGAGTGGCTTACCCTTGCAGATCCTGAAATCCTATCCTGTTTGCCTGGAAAATACATTCCAGATAGTACACGAAACATGGATTCAGGATTTGGTCTTATCCTTCCAGTTCGATGCATTGGAAAAGCTTTTAGGATTTCACTCCTCCCAGCAACATCAGCAGCACTATGTAAAAGAGACCAGGCTTCCCGAAAGCAAAGGAAATCAGTTTCCCTGTTTGCAGAGGATAATTGGCCTGTAGCATATGGCCAACTGATAGTTGAAACCATTGCTGGTCTAGAAACCTTTTAAGAATCTCCAGGTAATGCAGGCAATGCTGAATTTGCAAGTCCATGGTTCCCACAGGGCAGAGAAACTCCCCCTGAGATAAAAAGTTCATTATTCAAGATAACAAAATAAACAATTGCTATCAACTGCAGAAAATGAGAGACTAAACCAGACTGCTACCTGATCTGGATCTACAATGAGTCCTCCTTCACAAACAATTCGTCTAACATACCTGTATTAGCAGCGTAAAAACATTACATATGCCTTTTCAATACATGCACATGTCCAGCAACATGTTTAAAGAAACCCTACTTTATCAATATTATCGCAACTGTGAAAAGACAGACAGAAAACTTTAGTTACAAGTGTATGCCTATGTAGCAATGTTCAATTAAGTATGCATGTTGAAAGAACCTTGAAATAAAGGCAAGTTTAAAGCTTGGCTGCAGAATCAGTTAATTCGTTTTGGTTGTTGGGATATCATGAAAGAATTCTGGAAAAAGGGAAGTTAAGAAAGCTTGCTTTTTCACGACTAAAATCTCCTGAGAGACATTTTCTTATTAAAGTTTAAAAATACATTTAAGAAAATACTCTATTGGAGGCATAGCCACAAACAAACACTCAAGATTGAAATAGTTAAATTCACATTTTCATTCACTGTTCCTATTACGGAGCATCACATCAATTGATGCTTTAGTTCATGGTTCCTTAGTATAAGCTTTAAAGTCCTGGGATTCTCAAGTGATTGAGACATAATTATATTTGAAACAATAGTAAGAAACAGTTTTGAGCAATCACTCTCAAAAAAATAAACTTCCTTCACACATAGAAGATCATAAGTTCATAACCCTTAGGTCATAATCTAGGAACAAGAGAAATAGCTTCAAAAAATTATAACCCCAAAACTTACTATAAAAATTTTTTGGTGTTGCATCTCAAGGCATTCAAAAGACTCATCTTTCAAGGGATAAAATCCAGCGCCAAATAAAATATATGCAGATTATGCTGAAAGTGTAACATAATAGTGCCTAGGATTTTGGGATGGAGGACTTAAAAAATAAATATCCTCAAGGAGGTGTAAGTGTAATTTACCCAAATGGTTGGTGAGTGAGGAGCTGCTATCAAGTTGAAGAAAGACCTAGTTTGATTTCAGACATGAAATTAAAGCTTTTGAATGAAAAATTGAAGAAATGGAATCAGGATTCCGACTAAAATCTCCTGAGAGGCATTTTCTTATTAAAGTTTAAAAATACATGAAATTAAAGCTTTTGAATGAAAAATTGAAGAAATGGAATCAGGATTCAAAAGCCAACAGCTCTTAAGGACACAAAGGCCTTTAATGAGATTGAGAGTGTTCGTAATCTCATTATCGCAAAGGGGCATAGAGAGTACTTGACAGAAGAATTTGGTAGCATTGCAAAGATGGAGAAAACGAGATAAAACCAGAAGGCTAAGGCTTTATGGCTTAAAGAGGGTGCTGGAAATACCCATTTTTCTTAGAGAATGGCTAATGCTCATACTAGGCAAAATTCCTATTGGGGCTAGGGTGTGGACGGTTGAGAAGATTAGCACTAGTACAGAGGATTCCTATGAGGAGCTTTACTCAGATCCAGGAGGATGGGCTGGACTTTGGTGGCATCGTGACCACTGATAAGGATTGGTTAGAAAGACATTTTCAGAAGAGGAAGTGGTTATGGCATTGAAGTCTCAAAAAGGAGATAAGCTCATGGGTAGGTTGGTGTATGAGTATGACTATTGCCTTTTTCCAATAGTGTTAGGAAGGCGTTAAATAAGCCTACATAGTTGTGTTGGGCTAGATATCCTTATTTTTCGAGCATGGTGTTTCTTAGAAAAGTTTCAATGTTTTTGTGTCATTGATTCCTAAGAAAGGAGGGTAGAGTATACAAAGGATGTTAGGCCCATCTCCTTATTGGAAGGAATATAAGATCCTAGCTGAAGTTTTAGCTAGACCATTGAAGAAGGTACTTCTAAAGGTAGTGTCAGAGGAGTAGACAGATTTTGAATGCTGCTTTTGTAGCTAATGAGAGTGTGGATTTGAGGTTGTGGTAACCCAAGGGTGGTTTGCAAAGTGGATATTGAAAAAAAAGCGTATTATCATGTAAACTAAGAATTTTTGTTATATGTGATGAAGAAGATGGGTTTTGGAGAAAGGTAACATAATTATATGCCAGTGCGAGTTTTACTGTTGGTTAATGGATCTACCGCAGGTTTTTTCTAGACGTCTTGTGTCAAGGAGATCAATTGTCATCTTTTTTGTTCACTTTGGTTATAGAGGCACAATATGCGACTTTCCCAAGGCAAGTATAGTATCTCATTAGACAACCACTATTTCTATATTGCTTCTCATAGAAAGTCTGTATACACTTAACAGAACGACTTCTTCTTTGAACAGTAAGGAGGGAAACAAAGAAAAAAGAAAGGGGTCTGGTCTCTCTCATTGTCCATCTATAATTCTTGATAAGAACAATTCAAGGTGGTTTTCTTGACAATTTCCTTGTGGGGCGAATGAGTGGTTCGCCTAAAATATTATCTCATTTATTATAAGCAGATGACACCATTATATTTTAGATTTCATATAGTCTATTAAGTAAAGAATGAGGTATAAGCTATTTTGAGATCCCCTTTTGATGCTCATTCTCATATTTAGCTCTGTTTATCAAATATATATATATATATATATAATGAAAGAGAAAAGAAAAAGATATGAAACTTTTACGTGTGGCCAAACATTTAAAAAAGTAATAAACAAGACCGACTAAAATAGTGTCTATGAGAAATAAGTCAATGAAAGGCCTACCTTGAAATAGAATCTTTTGCCACTGTACATGTCAAGTCCAGTTTGAAGAATTTTCATGTCACACCCCAAGCAACCTACTAGCCAAGCAAATTGGACAGAGCGGGTATACCAAGTTACCAACATGGCCCAAAAGCTTAAGCCCAAGTAATATACCAAATTAAGGTTTCATATTATAAAGAGGAAGAAGAAGAAGAAGTGATAAAGAAAAGCTGAAAAGAAAGAAAACGGTATGCCGATGTATCTTTCCAAAAAGATAGTTGGGCAACAATCCCCCATTCGTTAATCTTGAAAACGACAATGACTGAAGGCGTATTAAAAAATTCAACAGAAGACGAGGCTCTGTGAAACACATCCAGTGCAACAAAAACAATCGGGTTAAGGTTTGAGATTATGTTTGGAAGCAAAGATCAACACTGAACAGCTACATTTTAAAAGTTAAAAGTAAAAAGCTTACCACCTTCAATAACAGTAGATCCACTATTTTTGACGAGTTCAGAATTTTATGAACCTTCAACCACTTGAAAAGTAGAAAAAATATTTTATCACAGTACAGAGAGTTCAATAGGCTTTGCTTATGTATTTTTGTCATAATTTACTTCTTTGCCATAATTTTTGTGTGATATTCTAGAAGCATACAACTCAACATCTTATCATAGGAATAAATAGTCGAGCCCAAGGATATACATTTGGTCATCATAAACAAAAGAAATGGAATTAATTGACAAATAATTGTTCTCTAAAAAAAATCCTTTCAACTATGCAGGAACAAAATGAATTTCTGCCAATTTGGGAGACACCCTAATTTTAGAAATTTCTCTATATTTGACTACCTCCTGGAAGCAAATGTAAGAATCTGTTGCCGAGACTGACCCTCCTCATCAGTGCCAGTCACACTATTGATCAATTTCATGGAAGCATTGTTCTGGTCTACATGTTGCTGTTGTTGTGTACTCTCTCGACCGGAACAATTCAAATGCATGAAAATGAAATGATAAGCATTCGTTTATGAGATAACCACATTGACTAAAAAGCACGGGCACGAACACAAACACTGATAACACTACTTTAACATGAAAAAAACACCCTGATTTTACGTCCCAAGAACTAAGTATGAACAAGCATATATGAGGGGGGAAAATAAGTACGAACTAAACAGGGGTCAGATTAAAGACACAAGAAGTGAACATGATGAAATGCCCAGCCTTATGATCATTCTCTTCTTTTCTTTTTCTTTTTTCATATCCCACCTATTTGTTTTCAAATTACTACATCACTCTACCAAACCACCTTTCCAAAATTATAATAAATCCCAAAACATGTCCTGTGGTGTGTCTAGAAATAGGACGTGTCCTCGACGTGTATCACTATTACTTACCACAACTACCTAACCAAAAATTATCCTCGACGTGTATATGTGGTGGTGAGATTTGACACCGGTAGACAGAGATCTGAAATCGTGAGATTTTTGGTGTTTCTACAACTCCGATTGCCGAGAAATAGGTGAGATATTTCATCATTCGCGTAATCTGAATGGCAATCGCAATGAACGGAGATCTGAGGAGCAGTTTGCGCACCCAAAAATAAAAAAATAAAAAAAAGGGTTTGTGCCGAAAACAATATGAGAATGAGGGAGGGAGAGAGAGGGGGAGGGAGAGGGATAGAAGACATACCTCTGCCGTGAGAATGAGAGAGAGGCGAGAGAATGAGATGGAGCTTCAATTTGAGAGAATGAGATGGAGCTTCAATTTGCTCTTTATAAAAATAAAATTTTAAAAATATATATAATCGCAAGTTAATTAAATATAATCACAAGTTAATTAAAAAATGTGATTAAAAAAAATATAATCATATTTAATTAAAAAGTGATTTAAAAAATAAATACTATCACATTTAATTAAATTAGCTGTGACTAAAATATAAATTTGATTTTTTTAATCATATTTTTATTAAAAGTGCCATGTTTTTTTTTTTTAAGTGTAATCTTTAAAAAAAATTTGTAGTAGTGAATTTTTAGAGGAAGATCACCAAAATAAAAAATAAAAACAATTTTTAGCTTTTTTTTTTTTGAAAAAAATAAAACTAATTTAAGAAGTATAAAAATCAAAAATATATTTTTAAAATTTTAAAAATTATTTATGACCTCCTAAAATATAAAATTATACAAAAATAATAAGTATTTTTTTATTTTTTTGCCAAATTTCTTTTTAGTTTTTTAGAAAAAAAATTTTGAACCAAGTTTTTGAAAATAAAACCAAACATATTGAAATTGATAATCTAACCACATTCTTTGGAAAAGTTTAGATTATTTCAAATTAACCATCTAAATTTAAGAGTGTGTTTGAGCTTGATGAGTTCATTTTGTGATCTAATTCGATAATCAATTTAATTTTACAATTCAATAACTAGAATATTTAAAAGTTCTTGAAAAGTTATAATAAAAACATAAATTACTAAATCAATCACATCATTCCACTAGCAAAACTTTTACCGACGAATAGTGTTATTGTCGCTAAATGGTTAACTCTTTGCCCGCGCCAACTTGTCATCGCCAAAAGTATGCACACTAATAGCAACGCTCATTGTGTTGCTAAAACATAAGCCTCGTAGCTAAAAGTTCTGAAATTTTGGCGCCAACCAAAAATTTTGGCGCTAAAAGAATGTTATGCTTTTTTAGCATGCAACTAGATCATATTATTAAAAGGGAAAACTACATACATCTGGGAGTTGAGAAAAAAAATTACCGACACAAGGAAGGGTGCGACACTTGCACCTTTACAATATTTCATTTGCATCCCACTATAGACCACTACAAGAAATTGCATTTTTCGCAACGCAACAAAATATGCCAAAAGTGCAATTTCTTGTAGTGGACACACTTACACCTCCTATGTGTTTATAATTTTTTTACCTAAATCCCACCTGCATGTAGTTCCCCATTGTTAAAAGTAATGTTTATTCTCAATTTTTCTCTCTTCTATGTGGCACATTTTTTTTTCTTTTTTGTATTTATTAAAAAGCCACATCAATATATCTTTTTACCAAATTCATTTTAAAATTTAATATTTAAAAGACTTCTACTTAATCTAAAATTACCTATAAACACAACCTAATAGAATTATACATACTAAAAATATTTTACCAATTAATTTTATTATACTTTTTTCACTTTTTTTAAATAAAATATTAAAATTATTTCTTATTTTTATGTCTATCTTATTTATAATATTCATTATATTGAATTTCTCAAATAATTAAGAATCTCTTAATCTTATATAAAATTATTTCTAAATTATCAACGTTAATAATTTAAATATCATAATAATTATTATAATATTTATTTTAAGTTACATTCTTAAGCACGAAAGGTTAAAATTAATCAAATGAATATTTATTTATTATTGTGTTATTAAAAAATTTAATATAATTTTAAATTATTACATATTTAATAATAAATATTTTTATAATTATGGATAGAGCTAAAATTATTAAGATATACACAAATAATTTTATTTAAAATTTATTATATGTGTTGATTTAAATACTATTTTTTATAAAATGATAGGACTAGATTATCAAAATAAAATAAATAAATAAAAGAATTGTTTATCTTTAAAGTTTTTTCTCTTCTCCATTTAGCGCATCTATGTTTTTATTTAAAAATTGCATATCAATATACCTTGTCAAATTTCTTTCTAAAATTTAATATTTAAAAAATTTCCACTTATCTAATTTACCTATAAACAAAACTTAATAGAATTATGCATACTAAAATATTTTACCAATTAGTTTCTTACAACTTTTTTTTTCTTTTTAAAAAAAATTAAATATCTAAAAATATTTATTTTTATGAAATATATATATATAATAGTATTATTATGTAAGCTTACATTTTTATAACACAATACGAGCTAAAAGTATTAAAAGATAACACAAATAATTTATTTAAAATTAGTATATGTGCATATTTAAGTAATACTTTATGGAACGATACAATTAATATATTAAAATAAACAATTAGAATTATTATTTAAATTTTTAAATTGTTATTTTTTTTTCTCTAAATTTAATGACTATTTTTCAATATTTTAATATATTCAGAAAATATAAATAATTTAAGACTTAGTTTTATAAGAAAATAATTATTTATAATAATTATGTTTAGCTGTGTACTAGCATCAAATTACTCTATTAATACATAAAGTAGAAGAAAGAAAAGAAAATAATCTAATCTAAAGTATTTTTGATTTAGAACAACTACTGACATAGGTCTTGGTAAATTTTTTTCATTTTATATTATTATTTATTTATATTGGGGTATTTTTTTTTTAAGGTTCCCCTGATATTTATGATTTTATAGTATTAATGACATCAATATTTTCCATGATGTCTAAGGTCCCTCAAGCATCAATCCAGAGGAAAATTGGTCCACGAGAAAATTTCAAGTCAAGAGAAAAATTTGGTACAGCTGGACTTTCAAAATTTCTCTGGAACTTCCCTAAACTTCCCACTGTAAATTTCTCTGCCCTTTTTTTTTTAATATAAGAATTCCCCTACCTCAACTCACCTTCCTTGCTATAACAACGGCAGCCTGAGATGTCTACAAGAACAGCTTAGAGCCATGGGGCTGCATTCCAACTCATGTGCTTTACAATCTGAGATGGTTTTTCCCCCCATTGATTATGGTTTCTTCGTGCCTTGTTCGGTTGCATTTTTGCCGAGGTGAATCAGTAGAATGAAAATGTAAACCAGAGGGTGTTTGTACATATTCATCAACAATGAAACAGCCGAAAGTTAAGAGCTGATGTTATTTTGCCTTGAAGCAACGGGTACGCAGTTCCAGTGTACCGAGACTATGTTGTTTTTGGTTCCAAAAGGTAAACAATGGGGAAAGCAAGACATGTGGCTAGAGCTACAACCAAAACAGAAAACAAAATCTCACTACTATAAACGTCATTTTAAATGGAGCTTGAGATCTCAAATTAAGCAACTATAAATGGAAACTTTGCTGGGCCTAATCCCGCCAAAACACAGATTGTGGGCTTAGTTTGCCACCAAAGAAACATAACCCCCAAAATCATCAAAAAAGATTACTTGATTATGGTTGGATGTATTGCTTGGCGGGACTGTTAAGTTTTTTCTTATTTTTTCTCTTTCCTCTTTAATATGAACAGACCAGTTAGGTGGATGATCTAAAGCAGCTAACATGCCGACGAAGCAATATCACCCATCTCTCCAGAAGAAATTCAAAATTTCCTCTGGCTGCATGGTTAGATAAGAAGGTAAGCCTTATCATAGTCTAAAGTTCATCACAGGTTAGATAATGAACTTTCTCTGCTTTGAATTGAAATTTCTCTGGGTTGGTCCAGATATTCTCTGGTTTGAACTGAAATTTCCTCTGGGTTGGTCCAGAGAAATTCTCTAATTTTAGCTCAGGCTTTAACTATGATCTGGATTAGCAGTTGGTTGGTCAATTTTGTTTATGACTGGGAATTATTGTCAGGTTAGATGCAAAGCAAGATAAAAGTTATCAACAGTTTCACTCCATTGAGTGAATAAAACAACAATAGCAACATATATACTATATATATAAATTAAAAGCTGGCCCAAGCTCCAAATGCAAACCAAACAAGGAGGAATTTCGGGGTTCAAACCCATTCTTTTCCAAGCTCTCCTGTGAAATTTCTTCTGGGTTTCTTCATAACTACTGGCAGTCTCACTGGGCTTTACATTTCAGCACTATTGCGTTGAGTTAAAGTAAACAAGGACGTGGCTTGAACGTGGTTGTAATGGATTGTTTCTTTGGTTCTGTTTGCGAGTTCGTACTCCTGGCCTCGAGCTCATTGATGAAAGAGTGGCCAGCTCTTGGTATTTTATCTCTTCACTTGTAGAGTGCTGCTGCCGGAGATTCCGGGGTGGTGACTGCTGGGGCAGTGGGGTTTGTTGGGATTGATGTATGCGTGGTTTACGCGATCAAGGACTGATCGGACTCAATCGCTCGACTATCGCGGCGCGATCAGATCCCCGGAGGATCAGATCCAGCCGGTGATGTCTCGTCGCTCCGCCATTGGAGAGGAAAGGCAGGCCGGGTCCGCGATCCGGGCAAGCGCGAGGGAGGAGCGGAGGAGAAGGTGTTGAGGAAGAGGTCGTAGAGAGTGGAGATGGAGAGGAGGAAAGAGAGAGAGAGATAGTAGAGTAGAGACAAGAGTCAATTTCTCTGATATAATGTTTAGGACCTTAGACATCAAAAAATAAATTTTGGTGGATCTATTCCGTTACGAAAAGTGAAGAGGGACCCTAGACCAATTTTTCCCTTTATTTTTTTTGGTATAATGATATTTGTGGTGGAGTTCTTTCAACTACAAGAAGTCACCCAAGTGGTCACCCTCTCTTACT